TTAAATTATGATATTTTTGTTTTTTCAAACATTTATCTGAGGGGAATATTGAAACAATAGTTCGCTATTAGTTGTAAAGTGAATTTAATTTTCATGTCAGAATTTAGAAAAAAAAACTTCGCAAATATATTAATTGCCTACATTTCAATATTTCAATTCATTTGAATCCGTATTCACGTAACCTTAAATGAACATGTTGTAATTAAATAAACCATTAAGTATACAAAAAAAAAATTGGAAAATTTAAGTGAAATCGCTGAACATGAATTGATAGCTAATGCTCCTTTAAAAAGTTTTTTTTTAAACCAAATGTGCTTAGAACGACACCGCCAAAGCCTTCAATCATATTAATATTAACGAACTATATCGATGAAATCATCAATGACAAATGGTACAATAGCAACTTAATTAATAGTCAACCCCAATAAATCAAATCTACACATAAAACAAGTAATTATGTAAACGAGTCAAATACTTTCTTATGTCTACCCCCGAATTCAATTAACAATGCAGACAGGCATAAATGTTGGTATAGGAAAAGTTTGGAAGAACAATATAAAAGTACATTTTTTTATCATGTTTACGTGAAATTATTATTTATTTCAATACACGACGTAGATTGTATCGTATCTTGTCCTGGTCCTTGATAAAGATAAAGATAGATTATGTTAAATATATAACTTCCGTATATGAACCAATCGTATTAATATCAGTACAAAGAAATATATACACACAAGACAACAGTCTGACATCATCGTTGGTCACGTGGTAGTATGCTCGCCTCGAGTGCGAGAGGTTGTGAGTTAAAACGTTGGAAGGGTCAAACAGGAAGTCCATAAAACCTGATAAAACACTCGACTATATCAACCAAAGGAACAAAAGGAAAACAACTATTATCATCAAACCGAGGCTTTCCTATCAGCTTTATTTTTTGTTTCTACGTCCTTATATGCACTAAATGCTTTGAGGGATATACGTCAAATATGTAACCAAGGTGTGAGTACTAAGTGTAGAGTTTTGTTATTATTGCTTTGTCTTTAACATACTTTATATTATCCATCTCTGATTTCCAAACAAAAGGAATATGACCAAGATATAATGTATGGATTTGTTTCCGTTACACATTTCAATGACATAACCATACTTGTGAGCCCGTGATTATTTATAAGTGCATACCGCAAATACAAAGATTCCCCGCTAGATAAATAATAATAAAATATTATAACCGTCGCAGTTTTATTTAAGATCGATGTTAAATTTACGAAAATGACTTACAAATTAAAACAAAATCTGCTCCATACAATACAAGATGACAAAATTTAGCGAGAATATATTTGATTTTATACAACCTAAGGGAATATCAAAAATTGCCATGCGGACAACAATTTATGACACGTGACTACCAAAAGTCTCATGACATAGATAACTGATTAAAACGGTATACGTTATTATGGAAATTTAAGTACAATGAACATGATGAATGCATTATCAATAAATATAAGATAAAAAGAATGTTCTTTGATCATTCTAATACAGAAAGAGCGTTAATGTTTTAGAAAATTTACAATTTACATTTTAATATCGGTGGATTAATGTCGGGAGGTTTTATACCGCAAAGTTAATTAAGACATATAGTGTTCATTAAATAATACAAAAGTTATTTATATGTTGTAACTGTCGGTCCGTATATGGAAATATAATGTGAATTTTGTTGTCTTCGAAAATAATCTTCTATTTTACTCTCAGATAAAAGACAGCAATGAAATCGTATATAGTGAATAATAATAATTTAATATATAATTTGATGCTACAGGGCAGGTTTACCTCTAAAAAGTGACTAAATAAGAGAAGATGAGAAGGTAACGCAACACCCAAGATAACTTCAACTATAGATAAGTGTAAAATGATATATGAACTTTTAAACATTTCAAATATTTAAAAGTATGCAAAAACAAATTGAGAATGGAAATGGGGAATGTGTCAAAGAGACAACAACCCGACCATAGAGCAGACAACAGCCGAAGGCCACCAATGGGTCTTCAATGCAGCGAGAAACTCCCGCACCCGGAGGCGTCCTTCAGCTGGCCCCTAAACAAATATGTATACTAGTTCAGTGATAATGGATGTCATACTAAACTCCAAATTATACACAAGAAACTAAAATTAAAAATGATACAAGACTAACAAAGGCCAGAGGCTCCTGACTTGGGACAGGCGCAAAAATGCGGCGGGGTTAAACATGTTTTTTGAGATCTCAACCCTCACCTATACCTCTAGCCAATGTAGAAAAAACAAACGTACAACAGTACGCACAGTAAAAATTAGTTTAAGAGAAGTCCGAGTCCGATGTCAGAATAGGAAACAAAAGAAAATAAACAAAATGACAATAATACATAAATAACAACAGACTACTAGCAGTTACTGACATGCCAGCTCCAGACCTCAATTAAACTGATTGAAAGATTATGTCTTCATCATATGAATATCAGGCACAATACCTCCTGTTAGGGGTTTAGTATTATACCATCATAAAATATATGAGAAGAACATAACCCGTGTCATGCCAACAACTGGTTTTAGAATAAATATGTTTAATTCCGATGCAAAGACCCTATAAGTGAATCAATATTAAAGCCAAAACATGCAATCTTTAATGACCTGACAACAGTATCGTAACTATATCCCTTCTTAATAAGTCTGTTTAAAGGTTTTGTTAGCTTTTGAAGTGAATACTGACATTTTTGTGCTTTGTAAAGAATATTACCATAAAAGATTGGATGTGAAATACCCGAACGTATAAGATGTCTGCATGTTGAGTTATATTTACGAATGATGTCGATATACCTTAAAAGTCTATTTTTGCACGTATCCTTTTCTTCTTATTACAGGTATGCAATTCCTGATCATGAAATAGTATATCAACAGAGACTTAAAAGCAATCAGAAATAACAAAAAGACTATTTGTTTGTTTTCGATGTTATCCTGTCCTTTATAATCTTGACCAGGATTGAACAAAAGTAAAGCCTTTTTCAAATGAGTTTTATAGTTTGGTCTTATGTTGTGCTGTTACACCACTGTCTTAGCTAAAGGGGAGGATTGAGCACTCACAAACATATTGAATCCCGCCACATTCATCGTGTAGATATAAGAAAATGTGGTATGCGTGCCAATGAGACAACTCTCCATCCAAGTCACAATTTGTAAAAGTAAACAATAATATGTTAAAGTACGGTCTTCAACACGGAGCCTTGGCTCACACCGAACAGCAAGCTATAAAGGGCCCCAAAAATTATAACGAAAAGCAACAAATAAGTTCAACACTAAATTATACAAAGTTGCTGCAAAATCATGAGTTGAATCACAAAAATAACACTATACTATAAAAGAATGCTATGACTACCTGCAATTTAGCTTCAAATTCTTGACCTGTAATTTTGCATCCATAGATGAGCAATTTAATCTAGTAAATATCTTTTGTTGGTTCATTGATTGATAGATTACTGATTTATTTCTCCAAACGGTTAAAACTGATAATAGAAAATTTACTTTAATGAAAAGTTTTCCAGGAAGGGTAAGCTGCATCCGAGTTTAACATTGGGATGATACTAGATATTTATCAATAGTACAAATACATAACAGCATAACAACTTGTCCTTATTTAAACAGGATTCAAATTTGACAAGGACAACACTTTATTGCCAAACAGATTCTAAAATGGCTATGACAGAATCACCTAAACAGTTGTGTGGGTCTTGTCCTAGTGCAGAAAACAAGAATACAATAGAATTTTGGTGCTTTGACTGTTCAGAATCAATTTGTATCGAATGTAAAGAAAAACATTTCGGAAAATTTCATGTCATCATTCCTATGTCAGAAGCAGGAAAAGTGGATAAATCTGTCATTACAGGACCTTGCACGTGTACTGACAAATGCCCTAAGAATTCTTTCTTGCACTGCAAATCCCACAATAAAATCTACTGCAAGTTGTGCGCGCCATCGATTCATAAAAGTTGCTCCGATGTCCAGAGTATTGCCAACGCTGCGACAGGATGCCAGCATAGGACATCAGTTTTAATTACTGATTTGGAATTAAGACTTGGTAATTTGAAGACAAATTATCTGCAATTAATAGAAGAACAAGAACTGAATTTAACTGATTTAAATTTTCAGAAATATCAAATCAAAGCTCAAGTTTCCGATTTCTGTAAGGATACGAATGAGTATTTAAATGAATTAGAAGATAAGATTGGAAATCAGCTAGACCGTTATTACCAGCAATGTAGGGCTCAAATTTCTAAAAACATACAGGCTGTCCTAGAAAGATGCAATGTGCTATCATCATTGGAAAACACTCTCTATTTACTTATCACAAATTCTTCCGAATGTCGTACTTTCATTGCAGCAAAGAACATCGATCGCAAACAATGTGAAGAAGAATCTGTCTTTGAAACGTTTGAAGACTTTCTCAAGCTTTTCAAATTGTCGTTTCTCAAAGAAGAAACAAATGACATAACTACCGTTTTTACGACATTGGGAACGTTAAGCTTGCAGTAGAAGAGCGAAGAAATATGATAGACTCACGAAGGTTTTCAGGGTTACAAATTTCAGTCCGATTACGAACGACTGCGTCTCGTCTGTATGGTTACAATTCCATAGAGTTTGATTTGGGAAAGGATGGTAAAATATATAAGAGCTGCCTGACTCCACAGAAAGTGGTTATTATGATCGGAAATGAACGCGCAGTATGGACTTACAATATAATTAGAAAAAGCAGAGAGCGCATTGATTTAAGTGTTTTTCCTGTAGATGTATCTGCTATTGATGATAAAACGTTTCTAGTGGCAATGGGTAAAAAGGGTGTTAGTCTTGTCAACTTGGCAACAAAAACGGTACAACATATTCTAAATTATAATTCAAAATGTGTTGCATATCACAATGAAGTTATATATACAGTTCATAAGAAAAAACTTGTTCTTTCAAATCTGAATGGATGTATTATAAAAGAAGAAGGTTTGGGCTTTCACGCAAATAGTATTTGTGTTGATAGTAAAGGCGAAGTGTATGTGTCTGACAATAAGCAAATTTCTAAGTTAGATTCAGTAAATTATCGAAAGGAAGTTGTTTTAGCACAGAAGGGGAATGGAACTTGTGATATTCGAGGAATTGCTATTGACAAGGATGATCGAATATACTACAGTGACACAACTAATGGTGCAATCATGAGATTAAAACTCAATTCGAAAACAGCGAATGTAATCATTGAAAATTTAAAGAATCCGTTAAGCATTGCATGCGACAAAACATCTAACCAGATACTTGTCATAACCGACAGGGGAAGTAACATAGAAATATGGCAACTTTGAAATGTAAGTACTTTCATATTGCATTATTATTGGCAAGCTAACATACATAGGTTGATATTTTAAATGCAGATGATCAACACATAGGTCAATTCTATAGTATTTATATAAATACAAATAGAGAAGCAGCCATACTTTCAGTCCACAAATAGTTGGACAGGCAATCAAAAGGTGTTATTCTCGATATCTCAACATATTGAACTCTGAGTAAAATTTTCAAAAGCGTACACCAACATACAATGAAAACTTTAAATAATATGCGGCCAATGATATGACGTCACCGCCTCAGTTGTCTTGTGATAGCGTGTTTACATTGAGTGCGGAACTTCATTGGTTAAACCGAAGACTTTGAAAGGAGTGAAATGAGTGAGAACAAAGACTGGTTAAATAGGAGTCGGAATAATGTGTTTGGGTAGGGTTGCATTGTATTATGTGGACTATTGACCCAATGTTGGCCTAGTTCAAAGCAAGATGCATATCTTCAGGAATGAAACCCTCAAAAAATCTTATCGTAAGGTGGTTAAGTCATCCATTTTACATATCCAAGGTAAAATCGAAACGAAAAACAAACAATAAAAGAAGGGCGAAAGAAACCAGAGGGACAGTCAAACTCACAGATCGAAAATAAACTGACAACGCCATGGCTAAAAAAGAAAAAAAGACAAACAGACAAATAATAGAACACAATACACAACATAGAAAACTAAAGACTAAGCAACACAAACCCCACCAAAAACTGGGGGTGATCTCAGGTGCTCCGGAAGGGTAAGCAGATCCTGCTCCACATGTGGCACCCGTAGTGGTGCCATATTATTACAAATCCGGTAAATAGTCTAATTCGGTAGGTCATATGCGTGAAAAGGGAAGGGGATTGTAGTTACGACATAAGGAACATATCCGATATCATCTGTGAAACGGTTATTCAATAACGGTCAATCAACTCGCGATGGCGTCCGTAAAATTTACGAAGGGATGATTTCAAATTCACCATTTGGAACTCTTGGTTTAATAGCTCCCTTGTGAGCAGCAACCCTCTATCAAGGAAATTATGATAGGACATACAAATCCTGGAATATCGTATCAATTGGGAGATATATACTCCGTATGCAGGCGCTGCTGGAATGTTGCTACATAGAAATGGAAAGTTCACAATTGGGAAGCTGAAATCATCTCTTTTGTCGTAAAGTTTTGTTTTCAACCGACCTCATTGTCAATTTATAGGTGTAAGTCAAGAAATGAGGCCGACTCAACTGTATCTTTTGTATCATTTATCTCTAGTCGATGTGATAGATGCCTTCAACATAGACACCAGATTTTGAATTATTTAGTGATAGAACATCATCTATATAGCGGAAAATGAATAACGATCGATTGTGGATTTTACAATGGTTCAGATAGATAAGATATACCTCTTTTACAGACGAACATCTTTTAGAATAAATGAGGGAAATATGAATAGCTTTTACATAAAAAGTGCATCTCAATCCGATTAATTGTGTGTAATTATCAAATTACTAAAGAATTAAAACAAATTATGGTAAGTTAATGCCAACAAAATACTGAGACATTAGACAAACGCATATATGACGACATCAATGATTAAGGAGCGCACTTGTTTTTTCCTCTTCTTTTTATGAGTATTTGATTTGTTACTCTTAATAAGTTGAATATACCCAATGTAATGAATACTGATAACTGTCTATTCCCTGCCATGGTTGTCTGTTCATAAATAACGTTTCTTGTCATTTGATTGAGGTCTCTAATTCAATATTGTCCAGAAGTGCAGAGCCATTTATTGATTTGAATATAGGTTCTTCATTATTTTGTTTCGTTTCAGGTTTTATTGAACCAAGAGACGTACCACTTTTGAGATACAAATACAGTTGTGATATTTGGCGGATTTGGTAAAACCGAAACATCTTCATATGCTTATTGTGGTTTATGTGTTCTGGTAAAAACTCTGACAAAGAAATAACATGATTTATGTAAAACATAATTTTGCAGCATCAATTAAATGTTTTTCATTAAATCTATGTTACCGCTGCAGGTGTTATTCTGTGTTGTAAATTATTAAGTAGCGTTATCATTATTGAAATAACTTGACAGTTGATAAAAAAAGTCATCGCATTCAAGCTAAGGTTTAGAAATCTCTCGGTAGAGTGACTCGTAAACAGGTTACTGTAATGTTTAAGCTTATTCGTACATGTCAAAGATAAAGTTAACAATAGAAGACATATATTTAAGAACGGGTTAATGACAACGGGTAAATTTAGAATATAACAGATCATAGTCTCTATGCCTTTTTAGTCAACTAATGATTCCATTATGCTTCTTAGCTGTCTTTAAATACATGTTATTGTAGAACTGACTTACGAAAATTGGGAATTTCAACTGATGTTAAGAGAATGAGAGTTTTATTAAAATTATTCACTTTTACATGTAGTGCTTCGGGTATACAAATAATTGTTCCAATAACATTGTATATCTTTTTCAGTGAATTTCATTTACTACTATTCAAATATGTTTTGTATACATCTGAATCATCTTAATGAAATCGATTTGGTTTTGCCCAAATGGCATTTAATGAGAATGCAAACATTTCCTTCCCCGGTGGCCTAAACACCACTTGTCCTTATTTATTTCTAATTAGGAGGTGCATATACCGTATTATTACAGATAAAGACGTGGATAATTATTCAATTACAAATTTAACGAAAATACTTTTCAGATGCTTCTTTATTGATATGTATAAATGTCAAACTTCAAAAGTATTCCAGTGTTATTTTCATTCATCTTTAAAATGAGATGAAAACATAACATTTCGTTAGAAATTATAAAAAAAAAGTAAAATCATAAAAATACTGAACTCCGATTAATTCAAAAAGGTAACTCCCTAATCAAACGGCAAAATTAAAGCTCAAACACAACAAACGAATGGATAACAACTGTCATATTCCTGACTTGGTACAGGCATTTTCTTATGTATAAATGTTGTTGTCTTTTCATTGCTAAAATTGATATGAAGTTTTGGATCATGGACCTAAGTTACAAATACGTTGGGAGGAAAGGTCAAAACAGTGGCCTATTTCCGAAGATATTAAAGCCAAAACTAAGAGTGTTTGCAGAATCCGTCATTCATTATACGCATTCAAATTATACTTTCCAAAGAAAAGGTCTCTCTTGTAAAAGTTAATGCCTAAATGATTTTATTCTGTCTTTTTTCCGCAGACCTCAGGAAATACTAAGTGGTTTTTATGTATAAATACGTTGACGTTTCTTGTCCCCATACTGTATTGAACTATAAGTTCCCAACAATGTTCGGTCAGGGAAATGATTTCTAACCGTCTCTCTTTTATTAAAACATTCCCTTTCTGGAGAATCGTCAATTTATCAATCTTATTAAACCGAACATTACGTAAACAACGTAGTCAATTTTTGAAGTGTCTTAGTTTCGTCACATAACACATCAAGCTTATTTCTATATAAGTTTTGAAATATACACGCTTTACAAATATTTCTGCAGCACTTACACCCATTGAATAATTCATAATTTTCATTGACAGCAAATATAAACTTCAAGTAGGTTACTGATTTAAAACTGACATGCTCGGTTGGTGTATATGATGTATATCCATCATCTTTTTAAATAACATGAACGCCTCTAATAATGCCACAATCAAGGAATCTTGTTTTCGATGGTCTGTTATAAAGGTCAACAAGGCAAACGACATATCTAATGAAATTGAAATAATTGGCTTCCACACTATAAGTTTAATTTTCAGCTAAAATTTGGTTCACACATTTATGTTATTATGCTCCTTTTACCACCATCAACTCATTAAATAAAAATACCAGGAGATATATTAAGTTGGTATGATTCTCAATGAGACGAGTACAAGAGACCAACAAACATGGACGTATACAACTATAGATCATCGTACAACTTTCAAGAATAAGCAACCCATACCATTTAGTAAGCTTTTAATGGCTGCCACATTACAAAAACAGTAACAATTCATATAAGGAAACAAAAGGCGTGATATATATCACAACAATGAACAAAATGAAAATAAGAAGGAGAACAACACATGACAGCAACTGAACTATAAGCCTTTGTCTTTGGGCTGTTGCACACAGAATGTAATACGATTTAGCATTTTTGTGAGGCTTCTAATTTTTCCTTTAAACTAGAGCAGTTGTGAACCAGCACCGCATCAAAAATGAAAATAAGAATATACTGACATTATAATCAAAAGACTTAAGACAATGTTAGAAAACATCAATGTTAAATATCCATGATAAATCACAAAACGGATACATCCATATACATTTTCCCTAATTGTGTGAAATGGAAAAATATTTCAAAATGTGCCTCTCAGAATCGCTAATGTCAAAACCAATCCCGATGATATTAACTTGGAATAAGATCTGGTACGCGAAATAGCTTCAGTGGTAGTTGTGGCAAACAGCAAAATATCAAATACAAATATATTATATACGGCGCAGCGCCAAGACGTAGTGTTTCCTTTCTGTGATATTACAACAATGACATAACTGTACAGGTTTTTTTATGCTATTGATGAGTAATAAAACTGATCTGATATATGATATAATAAATACTATTAAACGAAATATAAAATGTAATGTATCAAAAAATAAAATTGCAATTATATATCAATTTTTGTATCTTCTTTTCTATCGACACGTGTTTATAGTTATAAATAGAAAAGTTATTCCTCTCTCACAAAACCCGGCGTTATTTCAACAGCGCAACGATATAATCTTCAATGTTTTTGTTATAATTAGAGAAATATATAATTTTCTTAAGAGTGAAAAATCCTCTGGAGAATTGATTGACAACATCATCATATGTAAGCAAACCATAATTTATGATGATTAATTCTCGACTAAAGTCACATTTGTAATAATTCCATGCATATTTCCATTCACTCTTGATCAATTCTTGATTTCCTTTTGTATCATCACTAAGCAGTATAAAAAATTGCGACTTTTTGAAATGACGTCAATCGTCTCTTGTTCTCTAGGTTCTCCGATTGTTCCAGCCCTGAAAAATAGAAACACATCAAAACCCTTTTTCTCTAGGCAAGGAACTAAAGAAGTTAACAACCATTTAGGAATTAGTTCATCATCTTCATTGGAAATAATATATATATCGTGAATAACAGATTTTATAAACAGATTATTTCCAGTTAACACAATACCATACAAACAATGAAACGATTATATGATAATTCAGCACTAGATAAATATAAATAGAAAGTTATACCGCCACCATCAATAAACAAAACACAAAAACAAAAAACAAGTACAAATTATAAATCACAGTCAGTTTAGTTCAATAAAAAAAATCAATTCATATTACATTGCGGATAAGATAACAGTATCATAGGGTATAAATGATTCTGCCAAAAGGTTCTCATTGTTATAAAACAGAATATTATCTGCCGTTTCTGCATTCAAAGTTTGAAATTAACTTATATCAATGACATCAAAATGTTACAAAAAGCAGTAACATCATGGTAGGAAATTCAAAACATTTAAATCACATGTAAATTCAGAATAATAAGACATATAATAAGAAAGAAACCTTATTCCCTTCTCTTCCAAACTTAGAATATTGTAAAGTGATCAAGGCTCAAATGATGGTTTTATTCAAGAATTTGTTCCATTGTCAGTGCAATGTTTATAAGTAATCGATTAGTCCTTTCTTAGGTATTTTAACTATATATTATTCTAGGTGATGTAAAGTCGTACTTTTAATTTGCGAAATTGTAATAAATTGTGTTTTAGACTTTAGTTGACGCAACAGTACAATGAAATGGTAGAAATTGTATAAGTTTCTCAATTGTGGGTATGAGTGTAAATTATCTTTTTGTTAATTTACTGTTCAAATTATCAATAAAAATTTCTAAGTTAGATTCAGTAAATTATCGAAAAGAAGTTGTTTTAGCACAGAAGGGGAATGGAACTTGTGATATTTGAGGAATTACTATTTTGAAAAAAGGATGATCGATTATACTACAGTGACACAACTAATGGTGCAATCATGAGATTAAAACTCAATTCGAAAACAGCGAATTTAATCATTGAAAATTTAAAGAATCCGTTAAGCATTGCATGCGACAAAACATCTAACCAGATACTTGTCATAACCAACAGGGGAAGTAACATAGAAATATGGCAACTTTGAAATGTAAGTACTTTCATATTGCATTATTATTGGCAAACTAACATACATATGTTGATATTTTAAATGCAGATGTTCAACACATAGGTCAATTCTATAGTATTTCTATAAATACAAATAGAGAAGCAGCCACACTTTCAGTCCACAAGTAGTTGGACAGGAAATACGAAGGTGTTATTCTCGATATCTCAACATATTGAACTATGAGTAAAATTTTCAAAAGCGTACACCAACATACAATGAAAATTTTAAATAATATGCGACCAATGATATGACGTCACCGCCTCAGTTGTCTAGTGATAGCGTGTTTGCATTGAGTGCGGAACTTCATTGGTTAAACCGAAGACTTTGAAAGGAGTGAAATGAGTGAGAACAAAGACTGGTTAAATAGGAGTCGGAATATTGTGTTTGGGTAGGGTTGCATTGTACTATGTGGACTATTGACCCAATGTTGGCCTAGTTCAAAGCAGGATGCATATCTTCAGGATTGAAAACATCAAAAAATCTTATCGTAAGGTGGGTAAGTCATCCATTTTACATATCCAAGGTAAAATAGAAACAAAAAACAAACAATAAAAGAAAGGCGAGAGATACCAGAGGAACAGTCAAACTCACAGATCGAAAATAGACTGACAACGCCATGGCTAAAAAAGAAAAAAGACAAACAGACAAATAATAGAACACAATACACAACATAGAAAACTAAACACTTAGCAACATGAACCCCACCAAAACCTGGGGGTGATCTCAGGTGCTCCGGAAGGGTAAGCATATCCTGCTCCACATGTGGCACCCGTAGTGTTGCCATATTATTACAAACCCGGTAAATAGTCTAATTCGGTAGGTCATATTCGTTAAAAGGGAAGGGGATTGTAGGAACAGATCTGATATCATCTGTGATTTCATAAAGGTCAACCAACTCGTGATGGCGTCCGTAAAATTTACGAAGGGATGATTTCAGATTCACCATTTGGAACTCTTTGTTTAATAGCTCCCTAGTGAGCAGCAACCCTCAATCAAGGAAATCATGATAGGAAATATCGTATCAATTGGGAGATATATACTCCGTATGCAGGCGCTGCTGGAATGTTGCTACATTGAAATGGAAAGTTCACAATTGGGAAGCTGAAATCATCTCTTTTGTAGTAAAGTTTTGTTTTCAACCGACCCTCATTGTCAATTAATAGATGTAAGTCAAGAAATGAGGCCGACGTAACTGTATCTTTTGTATCCTTTATCTCTAGTCGATGGGATAGATGCCTTCAACATAGTCACCAAATTTTGAATTATTTAGTGATAAAACATCATCTATATAGCGGAAAGTGAATAACGTTTGTGGATTTTACAATGGTTCAGATAGATAAGATATACCTCTTTTGCAGACGAACATCTTTTAGAATAAATGAGGGAAATATGAATAGCTTTTACATAAAAAGTGCATCTCAATCCGATTAATTGTGTGTAATTATCAAATTACTAAAGAATTAAAACAAATTATGGTTAGTTAATGCCGACAAAATATTGAGACATTAGACAAACGCATATATGACGACATCAATGATTAATGTGCCCACTTGTTTTTTCCTCATCTTTTTATGAGTATTTCATTTGTTACTCTTAATAAGTTGAATATACCCAATGTAATGAATACTGATAACTGTCTATTCCTTGCCATGGTTGTCTGTTCATAAATAACGTTTCTTGTCATTTGAATGAGGTTTCTAATTCAATATTGTCCAGAAGTGCAGAGCCATTTATTGATTTAAAGATAGGTTCTTCATTATTTTGTTTCGTTTCAGGTTTTATTGAACCAAGAGACGTACCACTTTTGAGATACAAATACAGTTGTGATATTTGGCGGATTTGGTAAAACCGAAACATCTTAATATGCTTATTGTGGTTTATGTGTTCTGGTAAAAACTCTGACAAAGAAATAACATGATTTATGTAAAACATAATTTTGCAGCATCAATTAAATGTTTTTCATTAAATCTATGTAACCTCTGCAGGTGTTATTCTGTGTTGTAAATTATTAAGTAGCCGTTATCATTATTGAAATAACTTGACAGTTGATAAAAAAAGTCATCGCATTCAAGCTAAGGTTTAGAAATCTCTCGATAGAGTGACTCGTTAACAGGTTACTGTAATGTTTAAGCTAATTCGTACATGTCAAAGATAAAGTTAACAATATAAGACATATATTTAAAAACGGGTTAAGGACAACGGGTAAATTTAGAATATAACAGATACATTTTATACAGATAACCATTAAGAGTCATTTCTAGAAGATTGAAAATTCAATTTCATTCCCTTTTCCATTAATTCTATGTAGGCAGAATACAAGATTTGCACATTTTAGGATACCTTGTTAATTATGTTAATTTCTAAGCATTGTTTCAATAATCCAAACTTTATAAAAAAGGCATTTTATTGCAGTGTTGAAGTGAATTGTTACATTGCTAAATAAACACCCAACAGGGTCATGTCATTAACTCTTATAGAAATGAAAAGGCTGCTTATTGTTATATATATATATATAAATACATATCTGTGTTCTAATCTTAATAATTATTAATTAATGATGTACACATATATATATATCATTTAAAAGTAATTTTTCTTACATATTATTGTATATTCTAAATATTAGTTATATATATTTGAAAAAAATGATTTATTTGAGTTTATTTTAACAGTTTGACCAATCTAGACAGAATGGTGATTTAATAGATATAAAGGAGAATTATTGTGAAAGGCTTTTTCCATTAATATTTGTCTACTGTGTTTTCATGTACACTTGTCTCAAAGTTAAATGCTAGAATAATACTCTCTCAAATGTATATATGTATTATTAAACTCGTATTAAAAGACTCTCAAACTTATTTTTAAATCATAATTTGTTTATATCTTAAATGTATTGCATTTGTGTTTGATCACTAAATCCTTTTCAAAATTCAGGCCAGTATTTTATATTACCCAGTATTGCCCAGTATTACCCAGTAAAACCCAGTAAAACACGGGTTTTCCCAGTATTTCCAACTGGGCTAGGAAATACTCATAAAACCAGGGGTTTTGCCAACCCTGGCCATGACCATGATGACCGCACCACGATTGTTTTGAACATGTTCAAAGTTGGCCACGCTCATCACGATCATGCAGACCTCACCACGACCGTACCACGACCTTACTGCGATCTACTCGATCGCACTACGATCGTCAAAATTTGCATTTTTTTCAGAAATCGTAGTGCGATCGTGGCCTAGTGTCACTGCGGTATAACTATATTATGCTAAGTATCAAGAATTCCATTGAGATATTATCAATTTGAGTCACAGATAACACATGTTTGTTTTTCCCTTTTCTATTATTTGATAAATCATATAAAATGCAACTAAAATGACAACAAGCGTATTCTTTCATGTGTTTTATCGTTATAAAATCTCACACACACCATTGCAATTGACATTTTTCAAACAACAATAAAATTGAGAATGGAAATGGGGAATGTATCAAAGAGACAACAACCCGACCATAGAACAGACAACAGCAGAAGGTCACCAACAGGTCTTCAACGCAGCGAGAAATTCCCGCACCCGGAGGCGTCCTTCAGCTGGCCCCTAAACAAATATATATACTAGTTCAGTGATAATGAACGCCATACTAAACTCCAAATTGTACACAAGAAACTAAAATTAAAAATAATACAAGACTAACAAAGTTCATGTATTACCAAGCTCACATTTGTTTCGTTTAAGGACAGCCGAAATAGATTTAAGAGGAAACAATACTTATTCATTACACAGATCTATCGGGCAACTTAATCCTTGCAACATTTATCTGGACACTTTAATAATGGAATGCACATGTAAAGATATTTGGTTGCAAAAATAGCTTCCAAAGAATGATTCTAAATGTAACAAAAATGTACAAGTGTGGTGCCGGATTCTAGGACAATTAATTTCCTTTTCAATAATCACAAAGTTAGACCTTACATGTAGTTGTAGAATAACAGATTCAAATTTCATATGGATAAGTACAATAATCGTTGCTGCGTTCCTTATAGTCGTTTTACTGTAACATGTTTAATTTCGGTAATAATATTTTTCATACTTGGTCGAAAATTCATAAAATATTATAGGGAGACTTTATATCCTTTGTCATTTTAAATTTGTTACGACGTATATATAGCGTGCAGTGCAATGAAAAAAAATGAAAAGATTCGTCTGTAATTGACATCGAATTATCTTCCAAATCTAGAAGAGCATAAAATGCTTAAGGTGTGTTGGCCCTGCAGAGACAGTAAAAAGGGAATAGCCCAGGAACAGGGAATAGCCCGGGAACAGGAAATGACACACGTGATGTCAAGTACTCGAATCTGTATCGTCATTTTGAATAAAGAATACCAGGGACAAATTCGTTGGAATTAAAAGGAATGAAAACATGCATGCCCGGCATACCTGACCTGAAAGGGAACAGGAAAATAATCAGTTTTAGTTATGACCTTCTGGGGGATAATGCAATTGCAAGGCGATATTTGGGAGCCTTTCTACAAATAGGACAATTAGAAGTCGATAGAGGACAGACTAACCATTCTTCTAGCAAAACAAGATAAAATGTTAAAAAAAGACAAAGGAAAAAAATCTATACTCTTTCTGAATTGATGAGGAACACTCACCATGTCTGACGCAGTATCCGTTATATTAAGTTACAAACTAAGTTAGGTAAGGAATACCAGCTATGAATATTATTTTGAATAATTAGTTACTTACGTATTATTTTCTATATATGAATAAATATAATCAGTCTCCTTAAAGTTGTCTCTCTCATTCCTTTTCAAGTTATTTGTCATTAGGGATATGTTTTGATTACAGAGGGGGGTTGATTAAACAAAAGAAATATATCAAGCTAACTAAGAAGACTTTCTGTACTTTTTCTAAATTTATTATGATACACAAAAATTTGAATTGCTTAAAGTATTATACTTCATACCATCTTGATTGTAAACACTTCAGATAATGACATTTATTGAAGTTGTTCGAGTAGTTGCAAAATGCGCAAGAACCTTACAAAACTAGAGGCGACAACCATTTATCATAAAGTCGAATGTTTTTGCAGTGTAAATCACATATGGAACACTGTTATAGTTTTATTGGTGTTGAAATAAAACTATTTTTCTTTTTTTTGCCATTGATATCGTTTTGGCAATTTATTCTCGTCGTGTTTTACCATAAACAAATAATTAAAAAAATAACAATCACAATAAAATTTAATAATATGATTCTCTAAAAATCGTATAAACTGCTTCTTTATATTCCAAGAATAATCAAATAATATTGGTTGCAATCAGCAAATGTCAAAAGGAGGAAACGATATCAATACCCATGAAAAACGCAAGTCGATAAGTATTTGTGCTGTTACATTAATAATGGTTCTATAGAAAGGAAGATATTTCGTGACATAGAACAAGAATATTTGTATCTATGATTTTCAGCTGTCTAGAAAAAAGCACTGTTTATCACAAATACTAAATACAAGACTATAGACTAAGCAACACGAGTTCCAACAAAAAGTGAAGTTGATTGCATGTGCTTCATATTATTCGGCAGATCTTTGCTCAACATTTAACACCCTTCATGGTAAGTATTGATTCGTTAATCGGTCTAATTTTATTATATCACAAACGAGGAACGATGACGTAAATACGATAATAAGTGCATATCGTGGTCATGTGACACATATATAGGTATAAGAAAAGACTGTTATAGTTTTATAATTGAAGTACCTTGTAATCAAATAGTATTTTGTTTTAATTCATTTTTTTTTTAAAACATATTTTACTAATAATCACCTGTAACAGCAACCCTAAGTTGCCCAGGGAAGCAACTAAGGGGACCCCGATTTTCACAGGCCCATTTGTCGGGGAAAAAGTATTCATTCTATCGGTATTTTGTTCTCTCAGAGCTACCTGTATTTATTCAGCAGTTTATTTTATAATACATCAACCCGTTCTTTTGTTATGTTAAATTCTATTACAATAAATTTCTGGTCGAGTGATCTTTTGCCACGTGCTATTCGTTGAAAATTATCTTAAAGGTAATGTGTAGTTCTTTCATAAAAGTTTGATTTAAGATTTTGTTTCCCAAAAAGGATTTATTTCAAAGATATGGTGAGTAAATATTTGCTTATAATATGTACCTGTTGATACAACATGTTCTTGTTACAAGTATAAAATATACATAATTTACAAACACAATAGAAAATACATAGTACATAAAGGGAGTTAAGAGCAATGTATATGATAATTTATTCAGTATTGAAGAGGTCATTACACTGGCCTGACCACGCAAAAATATATATTTATATACAAAAAGTGTCGCACATAGAAGAAAAGGCTTCAATGATCGTATTTGGTTTAAGAGATTTGAACAAAAAGTGCATTTCATGTTTTATCATATTGAAAATCATCGATTTACTTATCCCTTTCTTTTGATATTTTGCGATGTTTCTAGTTTTCCAAATAACCAATTTCGTGATAAGAAGCACCGTATCTAAAATTTGAGAATAAGATGTATCTGCATTTATGACACCAAAATGATACTCGTTTCCGATTTTTGTAATTTTTCGATACTCAATTTTTAACAAAATTCCCATATTATCTCAAAAATTTCCCGCCAAACGTCTTCCACCAGTTTACAATAGATAAAAAGATGAAACAGTGATTCTTTTTCATTACAAAAGTGACACTTTCCGTTTGACCGATTCATTTTTTTTGTATTTTTTCTTCCGTGTAAATTATATTATGAAGTAACTTCCATTGAAGTTGTATAGCTTCCCTATTTGCTAAATTCTTATTCAAAGTATCCCAAATATCTCCCGAGGGTAGTTCCTTCCCAAAATGTAAATTCCATTTGAACTGACTATTTGGAGTAATATTATTCTCATAAAAGTATCTAATATCTTTAAGGCACAATTTTTTGGCATCAACGACAACTCCATTTTTTGAATATTGACAAGAATTTATTATTTTCATAGGTGTATCAGAATGACTTTGCAGTATGGGGTCTGTTTTTAATTCATTCAATTTTAATAGAAAACATTGCTTATAGTGATTCCTTACTCTAAGAAAGGGAAAATATATCCACACAACCGATAAATGACTTCGTTTGGTTTATCATGAGTTCAAGTATGACTGTGCTGTGTTCTCAAAGAAATTAACAGGTGAACGAGACAATAAAGTTTGTGGCATATCACAAAGGTGTGACGCCAGCATGTATGTGAACCAGTTTAAATGGGTTTATATTTAGAAGAAATTGCGAGCAATAACAATATATTATAAATATTTCTAATTTATAGCATCAAAAATGGTGAGGTGCAGAAGATGCTTCAATAAAAAACTGAATATGCGATCCTTATATTTTAACAGGTTAAATATGTAGGTTAATGTTTCTGTCAATGCTGTGGTAACCGGGACAAAATCAAACTTTATCAGTATAAGTAATTTTTTTACTTTCTTTGCAGATTTTTCAAGCAAATCTTTGGAGCACTGGAGGGAAAAAGTGGGCAGAGTAAATATAACAGGACCCGCTGTTGAGTCCACATGGTACCTCCCCTTAATATTATAAATCCCCTATTTCTAATAAACATCATTTATTTGTACCATATGTTTACTAATTTGCCATAGGTTTACTCTAAACATAATGTTTTCTATCAATGTGGCACTCGACTATTAGCTCTATAATCGAAAGGTACATGGATAGTAAACATGTATATGTAGAGTAAAAATAAGGTAAAATGTGCTTTGTCTATATACCTTTGTGTTTCTTAGATACATATGACGTGGCTCTGTTCTTTTACATCACGTCATTGTGCTATTGTGCTATTG